TCCTCTCCTCATAACTCATAAAGCTGTCACGGATTACCACCTTAAGCGTCGCAGGTGATGATCACGCCAGATATAAAAATTATAGGTTCGCCTGGGTTGGAAAGTTCATTTGTCTCCGACCAGATTAACTCCCGTGGCTCGAGGTCCACCGGCCCACCAGCGATGCCTACGACGCGGGGGCACTAACTGTCTCCTGGCGTCCACCGTGTCTGGGGGACAGGGTTATCCTCGAAGCATCTAAGGGTGGAGTTCCTGCTATAAAACTGCGCGATATTCGCCCTTAGCTGGCATATCACCACTGCTATCATTACTATGGCCGGACCGTGACCTATCCGACCGCATTAATTTCACAAGGAGATATTACAAGGTGCTTAGGCCTCTTTTCCTCCCTGATTTAGGCCGACAGACGCAGGCCTGTGGGGGGTCTGCTTTAGGGAGAACGCTCAGGAATTCTTTAGCGTCCCTCGAACATCTGCTGCCCTTCTGGCTTGGCAGTCGAAGCTCTCATAATGAATGTACAGTGTATTGATGAGATTTATTCGCGTATACACATGTCACCCGTTAGCGAATTTTATGCTCTTGCAGAGGAAGAATCTATTGGTAGAAGAAGCACGTATTTGGCAGCTGCTTCCTTTCGGGAAAGTAATGTTCCTTCCTTTGCCTTTAATGTAATAACAGTGAAGATATACACATCCGTGTGTGTGTGTGTGTGTGTGTGTGTGTGTGTGTGTGTGTGTGTGTGTGTGTGTGTGTGTGTGTGTGTGTGTGTGTGTGTGTGTGTGTGTGCGCGCGCGTGCGTACGTGCGTGCGTACGTACGTGCGTGCGTGCGTACGTACGTGCGTGCGTGCGTGCGTGCGTGGTGCGTGCGTGCGTGTGTGGTGCGTGCGTGTGTGGTGTGTGCGTGTGCATGTGTGTGTGTCACAAGTTTTGGAAAATCAGGAAAGTATTGAAGAGAAAACAAGCGAAACTGATTATCGTCTGTGCAAGACATTCTTTGAAAACCGGTACTAGGTAGATTTATGCCAATTAAAAAACTTACTAATGATACTCCCACATACCTTTTAAATCTCTCTCTCTCTCTCTCACACACACCCACACACACACACACACACACACACACACACACACACACACACACACACACACACACACACACACACACACACACACACACACAAGAAAGAAAAAAATATATATGTACATAATATATATATATATATATATATATATATATATATATATATATATACATATATATATATATATATATATATATATATATATATATACACACACACACACACACACACACAGTATACGTTACCTGCATCTACATCAATCAACATTATTCGAACAACCAAACTCAAGTGAAACAATCTATTTCCCCACATTTAGAACATACAAGCCATTACACATTTTACACCATGCATGAGAACAGCACAGCATAAGGCCCATTGTTTACCCTCTGATTCTCTAATCTCCGTCCCCCTTCGCTCAGGGCAACGGCGCTTTCTACTAATCATAAAATCCCCCCGCGAACAAATCCCATGTAATCCCGGAACAGTGTAATTTTGCTGTAGGTCCAGTGTTGATGGACAGAGGTCTGAGTAATTCCCCTTTGCTGAGAATGTTATGCGGTCCCCTTTATGTGCATCGGTAGGCAGGAAGGCAGATGTGGTTCGTTGTTGTTCTTGTTAGTGTTTGTGTGGTTGTTGTTGTTGTTGTTTGTTTGTTTGTGTGTGTGTCTTTGTTTGTTTGTGTTTGTTTGCTTGTGTGCATGTGTTTGTTTGTGTGCATGTGTCTGTTTGTGTGCATGTGTTTGTTTGTGTGCATGTGTTTGTGTGCATGTGTTTGTTTGTGTGGATTTGTGTGTTTGCGTGTATTTGTGTGTGTTTGCGTGCGTGCGTGTGTGTGTATCGATACTCGATAGATATTTTGAATGTTAACGCGCACTTCCATTTCTACGTGGGTAAATGTATTGTATGTATATTCATTCGTACATAAATGTCTGTGTATTTATGTGCGCGTACGTCTGTTTTTACGTACCTATAACACACGTATGGCCGGATGCGTTCGGTTCTCCCCGGTGCGAGGCGCAGGTGCTGAATATACAGGAAGGGAAAGCAAATTCTCGTCGCTTTTATTACTCGTTTTTTTTAATTTGTTTGCTATGAAGGGGAGAGAGACAGAAGTAACGAGACATACACACATGGAGACTCACACACGCGCGCGCACACACACACACACACACACACACACACACACACACACACACACACACACACACACACACACACACACACACACACACACACACACACATACAAACACGCGCGCGCGCAGTAAATATACAAACACGTGAACACAAACATGAATAGTGTAATGTGTACACAAATATGCAAAGGAAAACAACCACCATAAGAAATGAAATTAATTTCATTTCTTATGGTGCCTGTTTCTTTTCACACAAATATACGCAACACATGTGGAGAGAAAGAGAAGGAGGAAGAGAAGGGGTTGACAGGGAGGGGGATGGGAGGAGGAGGAAGAGAGAGAGAGAGAGAGAGAGAGAGAGAGAGAGAGAGAGAGAGAGAGAGAGAGAGAGAGAGAGAGAGAGAGAGAGAGAGAGAGAGAGAGAGAAGGAATAACTACAAAATCAGAACAAACAACACCACCAAGCGAGAGCCACTAATAGAAAGGAGACAAGAAAATCTTTACGGACTTCCGACAAGTAATCGCCCCCCCCCCCCCCAAGACTTCCCTTTTCCCCGTAGTCACACCTGGTGCCTCGATCCTCCTCCTCCGACCCTTAAGTACATAAGGACAATTTCAAGTGAGCAACCAATAGCAAAAGAACCCCTACAACTATTTCATTTTTAAGGTTTCCATTACTTCCTATTACTAGTACTCGACCAACTACGAGAAAATCAATGAAACACGTACCGTACCATCGTTAGCTTTGCCACCTCTCAAAACAATCAATACTTTTCCATGACAATTTCCAATACGAACTGAGCGAGACTTACCCTATCTTTTATTTACATTCTGACTTTGCATTTATTCTTGACGTTTTTTTTATTTTTATTCGTCTTTTTTTTATTCTGTCTCGCTTATCAATTTGGCAGGGATGTTTCCGAAAAAAAGGGTTTTTGTTCGCAGCTCTAACAACGTTATATTGAATTGTTGACAAGGAGCAAACATGTGTCAGAAATAAAAGGTATTGTAGCTGGGATACAAAGGACGTGTAGAGAAATGAAAGAGAGAGAGAGAGAGAGAGAGAGAGAGAGAGAGAGAGAGAGAGAGAGAGAGAGAGAGAGAGAGAGAGAGAGAGAGAGAGAGAGAGAGAGGGGGGGGGAAGAGAAAGAAAAAGAGAGAGGGGAGGGAGAGAGAGGGAGAGAGGGAGAAAGAGAGGGAGAGAGGGAGAGAGGGAGAGAGGGAGAGAGAGGAGAGAGAGAGAGAGAGAGAGAGAGAGAGAGAGAGAGAGAGAGAGAGAGAGAGAGAGAGAGAGAGAGAGAGAGAGAGAGCTCCGTTTCCCATTTTTTTCTATCTAAATTCTCCAATCAAATCAATACGCAAATCAATACACAGACAGATCTAGCTCCCTTCTTAAACAACAACGGCAACAAATATCCCAAGCTATCATCCAAAGCCGCATCCAGACAAAAACAAGACACATATCAACCACAGCGTAAACAACTGAACGATCCGGAGCCCCGCCTTGCCCCACCAACGATCCACTCGTTCACTCGTTCACTTGTCCACCTGTTCGGTTGTTCACTTGTTCGGTTGTTCACTTGTTTGGTTGTTCACTTGTTCGCTTGTTCACTTGTTCGCTTGTTCGCTTGTTCACTCGCTGCGCCAGACACGCGCTTACATAGCATCGAGAGGGGGAGAGGGGAGGGGCGAGGATTGGAAAAAGGGGAAGGAGGAGGATGGGGGGTGAGTAGTGGAGTGGAGGGTGAAGATAAAGGATGATAGGGGTGAGGATTGGGGTGGAGGATAGTGGGGAGAGGTGGAGGATGGTGTGGGGGTGAGGATAGGTGTGAAAAGTGGGGATAGGATAGGGGGGGGTGAAAGGCGAGGGTAGGAGGGGAGAAGAAGGCGAGAGGGATAGGGGATAGGGATGGGGAAGGTACCTCGGTGCCTCGGGTATGCAAATGAATCGCCGACGAATATGGCCCGAGACACTCTGTGATAAATCCTTCGGGTCTGATGCCACACCCCTGCTGTGTAGGCCGGGGGGTAGGGGGTAGTGGGAGATAGGGGAGGGGTATCCAGAGGCCTACGGATGGAGGTTCTTTTCTAAGGGGTTGCTTGTCCTGTTTTGTGGTGGTGGCACCAGTAATGATGGTGAGATGCTAAAGAGATTATAAACACCATTACCGCCATCGTTGTCATTGTCACCGTAATCTAAAATTCTTAATGATGATGATGATATGATAACAATAACAACAGCAACAATAAAAATAATTTAAAAAATTATAATAATACTAACACTATTAATGACAATGACGATGATGATGATGATGGCAATAACTATGATGGTGATGATAATGGTTATACCAATAGTGATGATATCATAATTATCATATTTACTATAGTTATTATTACCATATTGATTATAATTGCAGTTGTAGCGATCGCAGTAACAGCTACAAAAACAACAAAACTACTTATAATGACTCTAATAAAGTGATGGTGATGATAAAGAAATTAAGGATGATGATGATAATTGTGATAATAATAATAATAATAATAATAATAATAATAATAATAATAATAATAATAATAATACAGTAATAATCATCATACTCATAATAATAATGGGGATAATCATTACAATGATTAATGATGTTGGTCACCACAGAAATACGCAAACTCATGCAGTTAGGTTACATTCCCAGTATTATTTTTTTCATACATTATGACGTTCGAAGGGTACATTTAGAAGAGTGAACAAAACCACAACTTTATGCACTTAGTGAAATAAACAACAAAATTAAGTCATAACAGCTTTTTATTATACAAAAATAGATTTCTTACTTACATATATACAATGGTTGACTAGGGAAATAGAACATATTACATTGGTACTATTATTAACAAACAGCCAATTGCACCTTTAATGGGAATTTGGGAACAATTTAATTACTAGACACATTTGGGGCTAACCATCAAACAGTACCAGAGTTAATGCGTAGGACCTACTTCAAGCCAAATCACTGGTTTATCACTACGGCAGTGTTGGGAAACTATGCTATGGTACTTTCACTAAATCTGTGTTGAATCTATGACCACAAGGGTATAGTTACTATGACTATGGCATATTGGAAGGATGCTAGTCTATTACCACTAGCCACAACACGAGTTTACAGTCAAGGTACCGATACGTCACTGAAGCAGATGGTGATTCTGCTTGAGTGTGGAGTCCTTTTTTTGTGTTTGATTTCTCGTATGACCACGTCCTCCCTTCCCGTTCTGGCATGCAAATGACGTTAGGAGAACTCGTTGACATCTGGGTGACACGCAATCTTTAGCATTACGGAGGGATGGCGATGCAGTTAATGATTAGAAGATGCATGCCACTTGTGTCGAGGAAGCCCTGATAACGACAGAGATTCACGTCCGGGAGAAGGGAGGGATTGGGGGGATTCAGCAACGTGGAACGGTCACTTCTGCAACTGTAAACGTTCTTCCGTTGAGGAACACTTGCAACTTTGATAATATCCCAGAGGATACTTTTCACATTTTCGTCGATCTAATGAATGAGTACCATCACAACGCGTGACAAGACCAGCTGACAGGTATGGGACACCACTAATTCCTGTAAAGGTTGCGGAATATTTAAACTTTCCGTACTGGAGACACAAACAGCGTTTGAAAGTCTTCACTGAATTTCTGAATATATATCACTGGTCGCTTTAAGGACGTTTGACATAAAGAAGGTATCACTAAGTTTTGTAATGCTCTTAATAAACGTTAGCATTTATTAAAACTGTACAAAACCTACTGGCATTTACAGCACATTAATAGGAGCACTGTGCATCTAGTAAGCATGTGGTTCAATATTCAAGCATCGCTTTTATGGTTCGAAAACGCTCGTCACCAAATATGTCTTCAATGCAGACGGGACTAACTTTCTACTAATATGTAGGAAGTCGTCACCTATGGGACTGTTACAACCACTCAACAAATATTATATTGTGTTCATCACAGACCTTTTGCACAAAGCATCACTAATTAGACTAATAAGCATCATGATAAAGCTTTGGTAATATAACGAGAGGATGGAGAGTCGTGCGTTAGACGTCCGATCCTCAAGAGTCCCGCCATCAGTGGGTATTGTTGCGCGGAGGATCCGTAGGCTGCTGTGGCCGGGCCTCCACCGGGACCTGGCGGTAGCCACGCGCCTGAAGGGAGTTGAAGGTGAGGAATCTGTCTCTGTTCTTCCCTGGGTTAATCATCTCACACGGCTTATCCATGCTTCCGTCAGAGGCGTGTTCGTATTGGTCCGATCCACTGCTCTTACTCCCCCCATACATGGCAGTTGTGGGACATACCATCCTGACACCCAGAGGGTCGCTGGTCACGCCCATCGGATCGCCCAGGTCGAAGTTTTGTGGAGGAGGACAGCTCGGCGGGGGCGGGATAATGGCGGCCCAGTTCACCTGCACTCCCGAATCATCGCTGTGATGCTGCCGAGGAGGCCCATGACTCATGCCTGGCGGTGACGGCTCTATCAGCGCTGTTGTGGCATAGGGCTCCGTCATGTCGTTGACTCGCTGGATCTTCGGTTCTGCGTATTCGTTCGCTGGCTGGTCGGGATGGAGGAGCCGCTTCGAGGAGAGACTGGAATCTTTATCGCTATCCGACGGCCGCCACAGCTTCTGTTCTCCGTACATGTTGACTGAATGGTGGGCTGAGTAGAGGGACGGGTCCTGATAGAGGGCAGGGGCGTGAGGCGGGTTAGAGGGCGTTGATTTCCCCCGTAAACGCCTCACGTAAAACAGCGTAATGACAGATAACAACAGCACCACCGGAATCAACAGGTACACCAGCCAAGCCGTTTGTGGCGGAGCGTACAAGACAGAGCCGTCGTCCTCATCATCTTGGTGGCGTGTCTGGGCGTCAGAGGGTCCAGCATCCATCAGCACAGGAGCGGTGAATGGGCCAGGACCAGCTTCCGTGAGGGCAGCAACACGGACAGTGTACAGTCGACCTGACACGAGGTCGTTAGCCTCCAGCCAAGGGTTGGTCACGGTCTTCG